GGTGTATTGCATCTTCTTCTTCACAATACCCCATAGATTTTCTATGGGGTTAAGGTCAGGAGAGTTTGCTGGCCAATTAAGAACAGGGATACCATGGTCCTTCAACCAGGTACTGGTAGCTTTGGCACTGTGTGCAGGTGCCAAGTCCTGTTGGAAAATGAAATCTGCATCTCCAAAAAGTTGGTCAGCTGCAGGAAGCATGAAGTGCTCTAAAACTTCCTGGTATGTGGCTGCGTTGACCCTGGACCTCAGAAAACACAATGGACCAACACCAGCAGATGACATGGCACCCCAAACCATCACTGACTGTGGAAACTTTACACTGGACTTCAAGCAACGTGGATGAAGTGCCTCTCTTCTTTTCCTCCAGACTCTGGGACCTTGATTTCCAAAGGAAATGCAAAATTTACTTTCATCAGAGAACATGACTTTGGACCACTCACCAGCAGTCCAGTCCTGTTTCTCTTTAGACGCTTCTGACGCTGTCTGTGGTTCAAGAGTGGCTTGACACAAGGAATGCGACAGCAGAAACCCATGTCTTTCATACGTCTGTGTGTGGTGGTTCTTGAAGCACTCACTCCAGCTGCAGTCCACTCTTTGTGAATCTCCCCCACATTTTTGAAGGGGTTTTGTTTCACAATCCTCTCCAGGGTGCGGTTATCTCTCTTGCTTGTACACTTTTTTCGACCACATCTTTTCCTTCCCTTCGCCTCTCTATTAATGTGCTTGGACACTGAGCTCTGTGAACAGCCAGCCTCTTTAGCGATGACCTTTTGTGTCTTGCCCTCCTTGTGCAAGGTGTCGATGGTCGTCTTTTGGACAACTGTCAAGTCAGCAGTCTTCCCCATGATTGTGTAGCCTATAGAACTAGACTGAAAGACCATTTAAAGGCTTTTGCAGGTGGTTTGAGTTAATTAGCTGATTAGAGTGTGGCACCAGGGGCCATCAATTTTGAACCTTTTCACAATATTCTAATTTTCTGATATGATGAATTTGAGATTTTCATTTGTTGTCATTTGTAATCATCAAAATTAAACATAAACATCTGAAATATATGAGTTTGTATGTAATGTATGAATATAATATACAAGTTTCACTTTTTAAATGGAATTACTGAAATCAATCTACTTTTTCATGATATTCTAATTTTATGACCAGCACCTGTATGTATTTTCCCTAAAAAAACAAATGAATTTGGATGTCTAAACTTTGGTTCTGATTTATCTTCCGAGTCTGTGTGATTTTTAAAAAATGGTGCACAAATTTCTTTATGGAGAAACCCTCTTATGCTTGGTGAGTCTCAAGCTTGTTGCCTTCTAAGCTTCTACTACAGGGTCTTCAACGTTTTCAAAGCCAAGGACCCCCAAACTGATTGCAAGATTGAGCAGGGACCCCCTAATTATATATATTGCATGAAATTGTGTTCTATCAAACTGTTCCTATAATCACTCTATTACATATGGAGTCATGTAACGAAAGTAATTTCTCTCTGGGATTATTGAAGTATTTCTGAATCTGATTCCTGGTTGATGGGACAGGTGTTGTGAATGGAACGGTGCCCAGCTTGAAAGAGCTCCTGTGTGTCGCTGAATGTGTGCATTGATGACTGAAAGACATCTTCTGCCTCCATTTATCTGTTTACTACAGTGTGTTGGATTCATGTTAATGTGGATTTAAAGACATTTTAATTAGTGCAAAAAATTGCAGGAGGGAATATAAAAAAAAGTAATCAACCAAGACTTTCGCGACCCCCATGCAGTACCTCCACGGACCCCCTAGGGGTCACGGACCCCCTGTTGAAGACCTCTGTTCTACTACATGCACACCACTCCAACTCAGTTCCGGTTGCTTCAATACCCTCCAGAGAAGACCACAATATGAAGCTGAAGCAATGTAACCCTGTAGGTTTCCAACCGCCTCCGTTTATATGTCGGATGAAAAGTTAGCACAACATGAAAAAAACGGACTAACATGACTGATATCACAGCCTGTCAATAGAAACAGATATAGAAATTACACATTTTCAGTGCTTATTTGTGCACCAGAGTACATGGCTCTGTGATCTTGCCAGAGACAGTCTGTCCCTTGGCTCTGTGCCAGTGGAAATTAATGTTGGGATCAGCTTACATTGAAGTCATATGTACCATCATTGTAGAGAAGGTAGACAGTTACTGACTGAACAACCCAGCAACAACCTGACTGCCTAAAAAGTGACGTTATTTAGTGTGAGAAGGAGACAGGGACAAAGAAACAAGCATGATGGTGGTTAAATTTAACAACCCAAGAAGAAGAAAAGTGACATTTGAGTGCCTTTCTCTAAGCTTTTCACAGGCATGTCAAAAGCATTGTCTTTTTCCAAATTTCTTTTATTTCAGAACTATCCAAGGGTATGTTATGCTTTTTTTTCTTTTGGCAATTTGCACGACATACCAACACAAATCTGCTTTTCAAAGCTGCTCTCCCTCCAATCAGGGTAAAAGCTGTTTTTAATGTAAAATAATAAGAAAAAAATAAAGTTTCTAGGCAGAAAGCTGGTAGACACAAACCCGAAAAGACTTGCTAAGGTAACTGCAATAAAAGCTTTTTCTAAACAATACTCAGATTTTGGTTGTGGAGGTTAGTCTGAATATAAAATAATAAAACACTTTTAAAATTGTATTTGTAGAAATTCTTAAATCAAATATTCTTTAGTTTCCACTTATAATATATACAAATATAATATACATAATGTCAGCCCACCGAGGCATTCATGACACTTTCATATATATGTAACTATTTCTAATCACAGTGTGTCTGTCTGTTCATTTGTAGCTTCAATATGCTTTTGCTATGATCCATTTCATTTATGTCCCACAACTTTGGGAACCACTTATCTATCACACAGCAAATTTAGCAAAATCTCAAAAGGGTAAATTAGCATTTCCTTGAAAGGAGCTGTAAATGTTTTTAAAAAGTGTTCTAAGGTCAAAAATAAAATGAAATAGTGGGGATAAGGTTGAAGAGCAGAAAAGTTATTTTCAAACTTACACAAAGCCTTTGTCTCTTTTTGTATCCCAACATTTCTTTTTTTTTTTTATCTGGGTCTAAATAGGAGGATGTCATGGAAAGTGAAAAGAGGGTATAATGGAAAAGGAAAACAAGGGAATTACGTGAAAGGAAAGGCCAAGTTAAGGGATCAGCAGCTGATCCCAAACAAGCCAGATTCTCCCGTGGATATATCACGTGGGAAAAAGGCAGAAACTAAAGCAGGAGACCACACGGGAATACTGAGAACCTTGGATGCCCCACTTTCATTTATTTTCCTAATTATTATCCACTTCTTTTCTTTTTTTTAAGTAACAGCAAATGCTTATAAACTGTTAAAAAAAAGTTCTAATACATACCAATAATTATGTATTATAACCAATAAAAAAGGAGAAAAATATATCAGTTCAGTTTATTTACATAGTCTCAATTCAAATCAAATGTGCCCTAAAATATTTACCAAAATAAACAGGTTCAGCAAAATCTGAGCAATTATAATAAAATCTAATTTGAGGTCCAAGTACATACAACTGAGTTATAATAAAATACCAATAAATTATTTTACAAATCTACCAAAAGATAAAAGGCTATATCTCTTAAGAGTTGCACAAAACATTGCAAGTGTGGCTGGGCGATGGGAAGAAAACCTAATATCACGATATATTTGGGCTGTAATCGCGATACACGATATATATCATGATATGTTTAAATCACCTTCAAAAACAATCTATTGCATAAATTGCAATAGATTGTTTTTGAAGGTGACATTGATTCAAACTTTTGGTTTAAAATTTAAAACATTTTATTTCCACCAGTTCAAAGCTTTTCACAAATAAGACTGCCACATTATGTATTTTGGTGTCACCTTTAAAAAGATTCCAGCAACCAAACATGAAGCAAAGCACATAAAAAAAAACATAATACTAAATTAAATGTAAAAGAAAATAGGGCTCTTTTGTGCATCATAAAATAAACAAAACAAACAAAACAAAACAAAAAAAAACATGAAAAAAAACAACATGAAAAAGGAAATCGACCTAAAATTACAAAAACAAAATTCGAAATATTGTCCAAAAATTTGAGTATTATTAGAGCATCTCCAAACTATTTCCATTGATCTTTACGGGCTGGAATTTAAAGAGGAAGCACAAAACGTTGTAATATTGAGAACATTGCCAAGTTTAGAAAACGCCTGCAAAACATCTGAATAAGACCACATCACATGACGCATCTAGAATACATTTAAATAACGTAACAAATAGCATCTGTGATTTCCCTCAATCTCTTCTTTTTTCTTTCAATTGGGATCCCTTTTTCAAACGACGGGGCCAACGTCATCGGCTTCAGAGCTGATTTATTTAATGCTTTATTTGGTGTGCGGGGAGATGCTGACATGCAGAGCTTACAACATTTTTCATTTTGCAGCAGAGGACTTTTTAGGCGGTGGAATAAATTTGTACTGCTACAATTTGTGGCGAGGGTTTTTGCAGCATCTCTTACAAATTACTGCATTGATCGACGTTCTCGGCGTGAAATCCAAACCACTGCCATATATTGCTTAACTGAAACACCTGCTGTCGTCGTATTCCATTTGCTGGTAACTGTAGTGCCGCGCAGAAAATAATCCTGTTTGGAGGAGGGGTTTATGATGCATTCAAAGTGTGTGGGAAAAAGAAAACTCTCAGTGAAATAGATGGGGACACCTTAATGTCGCCAAGCGAATTTGTACTCGATGGTTGCGATGAAGTAATTTTAACCATTGTGCGTGGGAAAAGTCATGATACAGTATATTCCATATACTTCACCCCTAATTGGAAGTTTAACTTGCTTTTAGCAAAAAGTGTAACTCTTGATTTATCTGAATAACTGCGGCTTTAATGAGAATCACTTCAAAATTATCGTTACAAAGGTTTTACACCTTTAAACATAGTAATGTGAATGTTTTTAAACATAAGAGTTCAGTATTAAGCACTCACCTTTTAACACAGCGTGGCTGTTAGAGCACTGGGGTACGGAAAAGGGAAGAGCTGCTCGAGCCCCTACAGATAATGTGGCCTCAAGGAGAGCTCCGGTGAGCAGCGAAGACAGGGACGTCCTCTGATCACAAGCTCGATACAATCTACACAGAAAAAGGGTCATTTTGGTATTTTAGTTTGAACAGCAAAGTCAATCTCCACTATAATTTCTTATAAACTACATAAGTGATTTGCAGCAGCACATATGGTATGCTGTATGACGTTACTGCATGTGAATTACAGCATTTGGAATAACTGAAACATGCAATAATTCATCTAAAACCAGGAGATGAAAAAAAAACAATAAACAAAGGTCTGATGCAACAACTCAAGCTTGTCAGCTGCAAATAAAAGCACATGTAATTTCATGTGCATAATTATCCAGTTATTACAAAGCAGCTGTTTGTGGTGTTCTGTCATTATGGTGTTGATACAAATTTTAGAATTTGTATGAACACTATAATGACTAGAGCAAGATGATCTAAGAGGCAAAAACCCTGTTATTTACATATTTATGAACCCAATTTGATTTCAGTGTAGGACTAAAACAAAAACTACTTTCCGCTGAAGAAAATTTGATATGACAGTAAATCTTTATAGTCTACCTTCATAAGAATGTGACATACTTGATTAACTTAATTATTTTTTAGTTTGATGAAAATAAAATGCATTTGTTTTTGAACTCAGTAAATAGAAAACAAATAAATACATCTCCCTAGAACGACAAAATAATAAATATATTTACAGACACAGAAATGTAATTTCTAAACATTTTTTGCTTCAATATTCAAATTTTCTAAATGTTTAATAATATTATCATTTTATAGTTCAGGTGTACGAACAAAAAAAAAGTTAATAAGAATTTATTCCTTTACTAAACATCAAGTTAAGTAAAGTACAAACTACAAAAGTACAACTACAAGTAAGTTTCCTCCCTTCCATTTTTGGCTCATATGTTTTATTTGAAGTTTAAATAATGATGTCAACGTAAAACTTTAAGAAAGCGAGGTCTCCTTGCTTCATAAATCTGGTACTGTAGTTGTACAATGTAAATACTAAAGACTATGTTCAGATTTTTATTTTGGTTTGGCTTTATCTTAACTGGTGAAATCTAACAGGAAATTGCAGGTTTCCTGGCAGGTCTCTTTTTCTGCACTTTTTCAGTCCACTTAAAAATTCTGCAATACTATACATTTTATATCACTAATTTCCAAATTCTATCCTTGTTTTCTCCCACACTGTATACATTTGATCAATGCTGCACTTTAAGAAATGGAAATGTCATGAGAGATGTACAAAACGAAATTTCGAACTCTGTATACAAAATGACAATAAAAGTTGTCTTAGTCTATTTGCACATGGTTAAATCGTGAACTGGTTTAACAATTTTGCAGAATAAAGGTTATAGCAGATGAAAATGATAACAAACCTATGAGGAAGATAATGTTGAAAACATTGAGAGTTAAAGCCGGTTTTCAAGGCTGGTCCCAGTGTGCTGGCAAGGTGGTGTAGACGCAGAGCCTCCCTACGACACGAACATTCAGACTGAGGCAACAGGAGCTTTCTGGCAGGATGAATTAGATTGATTTCTTCTCTGTCCAGCAAACAGCTGGTAACCTGTAAAAGAGGCAATTGATAAATAGATCACTATCTGTTGTTGTGACATAAACCATGATTGTAATTTTGGACATTGGGAACCAATGTCTACAGTATGCTTTATATTAACCGTGTCTATTGGGTTACTAAGATTAAAGTTTGCTTTACAACACCCCTAAACACACCTTCACCAATACGACATTCCTATATAGGTATGCCTTTGCCCCCCAGGGAGGCGTAAGGATAAAGCCACTGTCTCAGGCCTTTCTCTTTCCGTTTTCTGTGAAGCTGCCATGAGGTTGACATTGGAAGAGGCACTACCATAGCCCATGCCCAGGGAATAGAAACTCCAGACTGACCAGAGGCTAAGTCAGGCCTAATGGCTGACTTCAAAACCAGCTAGCTGCAAAATATTTGCAACATTTTTCTCAGAGTTTGAGAACTTTCAGATGCTGGCCTAAGGTGGGAGCCTTAAGGACAAAGGAAGGGCTTCCCCGATGGGTATCTGGCTCCGACAAAAGAACTTCCTTGCTGTGGGCCTGCGATGAAGAGCTGCTAACAATAAATGCTGGAGAAAATTCTAGCTTTCCACATGGAGATCAACAGATTTGCAGGTCGGCAGATTTACAGACAGATTTTCCAGATAAACATCATGTCTTGTTGATCATTTCATGTGTTTATTGTTGGGTAAAGACAAAGCTGACAGGTTGAACCACATGGTACACTATGCGGACATGTTTTATGCTGTCGTTTATTAGGCTAAAACAAGCTTTTTTTAAGGTTTTAAACACTAATATAATGTTTATGTTCATGTTTGTTAATGTTAGTTTACCTAAGCTTAACCAGTTTTACTCGAGTTTTTTTACTCAAATGTGTTTGACTTGGAGGGCTGCACAGTGCACAGTCTATAGCACTCCTGCCTTGCAGGTGTGATTCCTGGAAACTTCAGTCTTTCTGCATGGAGTTTGCATATTCTCCCTGTGCATGTGTGGCTTCTCTCCAGGTACTTCGGCTTCCTCCCACAGTCCAAAAACATGACTGTTAGGTTATTTGACTTCTCTAAATTCTCCTTAGATGTGAGTATGTGCGTGAATGGTCGTTTGTCCCGTTTGTCTCTGTGTTGCAATAGATTGATGACCTGTCCAGGATGTACTCCGGCTCTCGCCTACTGACAGCTGGAGATGTGACAGGCTGTGGCAGAGGCTGTGACAGAAAATGGATAGATGAATGGATGGATGTTTGACTTTGAACTGAATGATTTTGTAAATAAACTCTTATATTTTGAATGGAATTTTGGTGGATTTATTCCATATATGTCCAGAGTTATCTGTTTGACCATGTTTTGAACTTGATTCATACTTTCAATTGTTGTTCTAACACACAGACAGTAGGGCATGTGTTCACAAATAATATATGACAGTCTGAATATAATTTGATTAAATGAAAACTTATATTTATTGCCGCTTTGTTAAAAAAAAAAATCACACACATCATGTCTCACATCAGGCGAACATAGTCAGCTGTGTTCTAGATTCTAGATCTGCATATGATTTTATAAAAAGAGAATGTTCACTAAATAAAGAAAATTTTTGCACAATTCAACACTCTCCAGTCAGAGGCTTCTCCAGATCTGCTGTGAGACAGACCACTACAGGAGATCCTTTCTGCCTACAGAGGCTAATATCTAAAACAGCATACCCTATACTGTAAGAGTTACAACGTTATATATCCCTTTGAGATCAATAAAGTATATTTCAATTGAATAATAAGAAAACTGTTATTCAGCATTTGTTTGAAAACATTGGAAAAGTGGTGGAGATAAAAAAAATAAAATGTGCTGGTCTTGTCGTTTAAGCAAATTACAACCAAAAAGCAGACTGCAAGAGGCTAAACAAAGTCTTAGAAAGACGTAGGTAATTATGGGATCTAAATTAGGCTCTTGACAAAAATTATATGAAAATGCATCCACCTACAATCAGATAAAGAGTGCACAGGTTTAACCTCGATAAGAGGAATGTTGGTATTGCTCTTAAACAAAAATTTGAAGGTTGGACTAAAATTTGCTGAAAAGAACTTGGAAAAGGACCAGAGCTTCAGAAATTATACTCTTCAGGAAACTAAGTTTTTCATAGAATCCACCCTGAATTTTACCTTGTATTAGAGGCTGCTTGAACAATATATGAGACTGTTTGCAAATAAATAAAGAAATAAAATGAAACCAAAGAGTTAGGTAGAACTGGATTGTGCAACATGACAGGTTCAAAAAATTAATTTAATTTCCTTTTGAGAAAAATATAGTGTTTTTCAACTAAATTAAAAATAAGGAAATTGATTTTTTCTAGATCTTTACTTGTAATCAGATCACTTTTATTATGAGAGAAAAAAGATTTAATGGGAGATGTTATCCTAAGTGTTGGGAGCTGGAGAAATACCAACTTTCTCCAGCAGAGTCCGCCCTGGATCCTCTCAGCTGAGCTGTCTGCGCACCTGCTGCTGATCATCTCATCTGGAGGACCAGACTACATAAGCTGTCTTCAGACCTTGCCTCGACGCCGCAGTGTCTTAATCAGTTGGTTAGCACCTAAGCCATAGATCCTCTGAGAACCTTGTTACTCCTGAGTCCTGTTTGGGTTCTAACCCTTTTTGTCTCTGCTTCCAGGTTACCTGTTTTTCTCCAGTGAAGCTCTGGAAGAGCTTGACCTGCCGAGCCTGCCCTCCGAGCCAAACCTGAAGACTCACTCTCTGGATTTCCTAGCAGCTCTGGATACCGAGCTGGAAACTCAAGCCAAGGTCAAACTCGTCTCTAGAAGTAAGACGCTGAAACAGCTTACGGACTCTGCAGAACCAAATCATCTCCGGACCCAACAGTTCCGCTCCCTAAGCCTCATCTACGCACTTCAAGGTACAAACCTGAACACAACCAAGATCAATCCCAACCAAGCCTTCGCTAACAGAACTGTCTCTCTCACAGACTCCAGTGAACCAGTCCCAGACCAGAACCAGTCAACTGTTCATTTATTTCATGCTTGTGCAAACAATAAACTTGTTAAACTTTCCCTCTGAGTCGTCAGTGTTCTGCATCTTGGGCCTCTCTGTTAACCCATCATGACAGAACACTGCGGCCAAACACAAGGCCCAGCAGATCACCTTCGTCGTCTGCTAGAGGAACAGGAAGCACAGATCCATGGACACGTTCAAGTACTCAGTGAGTTGAACACCCGCATCGAATTACAAGATCAAGTCATTCAAGGTTTTGCCAACCAGTTGAATAGAGCTAACGCTGCGCCTGCAGCACAACCATTTCCGGGTCCAGTCCCACCTCCAAGGTCACCGGCGTTGACGTCATCCGAGTTCCGTCCAAGTTTACCAGAAAAGTTCTCTGGTAATTTAAATGACTGCAAAGGATTTTTATTTCAATGCCGTCTTATTTTTCTGAACTCTCCTGGCAGTTTTCCCACGAATCACAAGAAAATCACCTTCATTCTATCACTTTTAACAGGAAGAGCTCTAGCCTGGGCTCAAGCCAGATTTGCCTCAGATGAGAGCCTAAATTGTCGATACACAGATTTCATTTCTGAGTTTTCTCAAGTTTTCAATCAGGACACCGATCAAACCCTTGGTTCACGAGCTCTTTTTCACTTAAAACAGGGAAATTCTTCAGTGGCTGAATTTTCCATAAACTTCCGGGTTAAAGCGGCTGCTTCCGGATGGAACCAAGGCGCCTTAAAAGGAGCATATTTTGAGGCATTAAACGAAAATATTAAGGATGAGCTGGCTACTCTTGATGAACCAGCTACACTCGAAGAACTGATTCATCTAACCATTAAGCTGGACAACCGGATCCGGGCTAGAAACAGCCTAAAACACAGGAATTTAGGGTTGTTTTCCTCTGTCCCCGCCTCAAATAATGTGACTATTGTTTCTGCTCCCACAGAACAGTTATCCAGACCGAAGCCTAAGAGCCAGCCTCTCCTTTTGCCTGTTCAGGCTACTCATCCTGGAGAGACTGAAATGGAGCCTATGCAGGTTGGACACACTAGGCTGACTCCAGAGGAAAGACAAAGGAGATTTCTGGGCAAACTTTGCATCTATTGCGGTGAGAGTGGACATTTCATCGCTTCATGCCCAGCAAAATCAAAAGCCGGGGCCCGTCAGAGGTTTTGAGGAGTCTGACGGGCCACGAAAAAAATAGAAAAACCTCCTCGTCTCATGCTTCCTGCCACTCTGTTTGTTTCGGACCAGAGCCTCTCTTTCTCAGCCTTCATAGACTCTGGTTGTGAACGAAACTTAATTGACTCTAATCTCGTCCAACAGCTTCGAATTGATACAGTTCCTTTAACCCAGCCACTCAAGGTCTCTGCGATCGATGGGAAGAAACTTCATCAAGTCACCCACCAAACTCAACCTCTTGAGCTTCTGATCTCAGGTAACCATCGAGAGACCATAACCTTCTTTGTTTTTTCCTCCGCATGTTCCCCTCTGGTGCTGGGTTTTGAATGGCTGGAGAAGCATAATCCCCATATTAATTGGACTGATCGTCATGTGGAGTCCTGGTCCACATTGTGTCATGAGACATGCCTCCGTTCTGCAGCTCCCGCTGTGGGGTCCCCTAGAGGTGGGGGGGAGATGGACGTCCCTGACCTTACTTCGGTACCTCCTGACTACCATGATTTGGCTCCTGTCTTCAGTAAGGTCAGTACTTCGTCCCTTCCACCACACAGACCATACAACTGTGCCATCGAGCTTTTACCCGGGGCTCCGTTACCCAGCAGTAGACTCTACAACATTTCCAAACCAGAACGTGAGACTATGGAAAAGTACATTAACGAGTCGCTAGCTGCAGGGATAATCCACCCATCTTCATCCCCATTGGGCGCAGGGTTTTTCTTTGTTGGAAAGAAGGATGGTTCTTTAAGACCCTGTATCGATTATAGAGGCCTGAACCAAATTACAACCAAGAATAAATATCCTCTTCCATTGCTCGCCTCAGCTTTTGAGCCCGTTCAAGGAGCTACCATTTT